TTTTGGCTTCTGTCACATTTTTATATTTGACAGAAGTCAAAAGACAAGACATAAAAAAAATAATAATAATAAAAAAAACACATACATCCTGTCTCAGCCAATTAGCTCTCTACCCCCGAGTGGCAAATGGTGACTGACATGGCTCAAAATGTCACGTGTTTTGTATTAGGATGAAGAAGCATTTTGTATTTAGTTTTTAGACTCTTTTATTAGACTTTCTTTGAGGACAAATTCAGTTATTTATTAAACAACAACAAAAACTGTTATCCCAATTAGATTAGAATGTAATTACAGCCTTCTAAATGTGTGGAGTCCTCGTATACACAAAGTCCTAAACAGGCTATTTTTGGTCTGAACTGAGCCAATCATGGCTTTATCTAAATTTCATTCACGTGTTGGCAGAGGAGAAAGCAGAGCAGAACTCTCCAGACATCCGCAGGTGGCCCACTCCTCGCTGTGCCTGGGTCTATGGGGGAGGGCTGAGGCAGGTGTGTGATAGTGGGAGGCCATGGCGTGAAGTCAAGGTGATTCTGTGATGTATTCATTGAAATCTGTGTAGACTGTTCTTTTTTTTTCTTATGGGTTCAAATATTGTTGTAACTAGAGAAACAGCTTGTATTTAGGAAGTTCTCTTTGAAAAAGTACATTTAACACTATTTTATTGACATTTATTCAACCAAGAAAGTGGAAGTGGGTATAGAAGGTCTCATGTTAGAGTTGAACCCACAACCTTTAGGCTCTACCAACTAAACCACTTTTCTTAAAATTCAATATTAGCTTGTAATAAAAGATAATATAAAAAAATCGCAAGCCCTTCACCAGAAAAAAACAAAAAATCCCAGCAATACTATGGATTCATTGCATAACTAACTTCAGTCCTTAAAGGTCACATTCTTTTCAAATAAGGTTTCAGTAATTAATTTAAATACTAATTGATAACTGAGGCCCATTCTCATTGTTATCACTGTTCTCCTCGAACAGCTGGGGGAAGTTACTGGGGAGGGACTGTTTCCAATATGGTTATTATGAAAAATCTGTAACGTGCCAACAGGGCCCTTGTAGATGACTGCAGTTTCATTGTATATTGTGAACCATGGCCTTGTAGTCATCACATTTAATTATTCATTCATTTACTCTGCATGGTATTTTGTGTGGACTCCCGGACAGAGCAACTCGGGCTCTTCATTAAGCGACTCTGATTTGAGAGTATAATTGAACTTGTTGCAGATTCCACATTTGCGCTATCGATGAGCTGCTGTGGCCACGATGCTAATCCCAGTTCCCCTCTGGCTCATTACAGTTGGATAAATTAAGGCATTCACCATCGATTATTCTGCGCTTTGAGGAGTAGCAAAACAAACCGCAGCGACAAACTGATCATCACATGTAATCAGCTGTGTGGTGTTTATCATTAAGTCGTATGCAAAATCCAGCCATGCCCCAAGGTGAAATTCTTCTCCCGCCCTTTACACACTCATTTGGAATGCAGGCTAAACTTTCTTTTCAGGACTAAATCAAAACAAACAGCCCTTTTACAGCTTTTCAGGTTGCCAAACATTGAGGGAAGAAATGAACTAAAATTGTATAAATGGTTTTGCTCGTAAGGCGACATGTCAGTAGATTTAAACAGCAATAGTTGGAAGTAACTTTAGGGTTAATAGATTTACTGAAAATACAATACAATGAGTTAGTAATTTAGAGACATGCCCACTCTTGTACTTTTGGAGTTATGCATGCATGTTAGACTATGGTTGAAGTAGTCACTATTTCCTTGCATATACTATAGATATGAATGATTTAGTATCTGTAGCCTATGGGTATATAATCACTAAACCGACCACCACTTGTGGTTAGCACTCTCCCTTCTCAGGAAGATGGTCCTAGGTTTGAATCCTGCCCGGAACAGGGCCTTTCTGAGTGAGGTTTGTCTGTTCTGTGTCCTGTGTCTTTGTAGGTTTCCTGCGGATGCTCCGGTTTCCTCTACCACTAAGCACAATAGGTCAAATCCTCCAGATCTGGTAGTGCTGACCCTCAACATCTGGGATTGGGTCCCCAGGCCGTTAGTATACCTAACTAAACCTAAACAAGTATCTACAATTGAGTATACCTAACTCAACCTAAACAAGTGTCTGCTCACCACCTTGATTTGATTTGGTATTTCAGCACTTTTTATTTTTTAATTTTGATTAGATGTGTTATATAGCCAGTTGCCATTCACTATCCAGATACTATTGATACTTGAATAGTGTTATATTACTGTTGCAATTTTAAATAACAATCCATTGTAATCCACAAATGTGAAATAAGCATTCCTCACAGTGCACTGTAAACCCTGACAAGTAAAGTTTACTTGAAAAAACCTTGGAAATAAATTGCATATGAACTTCACTTGAATTCCTCGAGTACACCCTTTACTTGATATTACCAAGTAAACTCAGGTGATTGCGATAAAGATTAAATTTCAACTCATGTTTAGATCAGGATTCGTATTCACAACCTTGTAGTTAAGAGGCAATGGTGCTACCCACTCAGCCACCGGGCCAACCTGTCATTGACTCTACACGTCAAAATGTCAAAAGTGAGGCTTACTTGAACACATAGACTGTATATATTAATGGACAGAGTCACGCCTATCTCCGCCGTTCTAACTAATGGGCCAAATAATGTGCTCTACTGGAGCTCTCCAAAATGGCTGCGAGTGGTCCCGCCCACAAAAAAATTGTGAAAAAACGCATCTGCGCATGCGTTGGCCGGCGCAACTCCATTCATTTGAACGAGAGACTTCAAAAATTCACAGCAAGTAAACTCGAGTGGACCAAAAAAATTCACCCCCCTCAGCATTGACACACATGTGGAACAGAGCTTTGGGCCAAGAGCCAACTTTTGGTCCATCCTGTAAAGACGTTTTGAGAGGTCTGCCAACGCTATATGTTAGCATTGGCTAATTCTACTTCTGGGTCCACCCCCATCGGCCCGGGGTGGTATTGCAAGCATGTCAGTGCATGTCATTTTGGCCACTTTTGAGCTGGGACCCGCCCCCACTGCTTGAACAGAGACAGTTCAATTCAAAGAAAATCCTGAGTGATATAGGCAAGCTTTAAATAAACAATAAATGAGTAATATTCACTTACTGGGAACAATCTATTTAAAATAACTTTGATATCTGGGGTACGATTGAAGTTAGGGTTTACAGTGTGGGGTGCAGTTCCTTTCCTTAAAAGAATAATTTTCATGAATGGATTCATAATGATTTTTTTCTTTGTCTCTTTTCAAATAATTACTGAACATTTTGTACATATTTGTCCATAAAGTTTTAAATTACTGCATCTTGTTAACTAACTGAAAACAGACTGACAAACAAACCCTGGTGAGTTTTGCAATCTTCAAACAACTGAAGCAGTTGAGCATATGCTATTGTTTCATATATAAATGTGGTCGCCCTTTGTTCATTAGCATACGTCTCTACAGTGACACAGGCCTGTCCTAAAATCAAAGCTGCTTCTATCAGCCGCTCTGCTGCAGCCTCATTCAAAGACGTTTGTCAAGTGTGATTTAGTGAAGGCGTGCTCCTATCTGCTCCCTTTGAAGTGCACTGATACGGACATGTGGAAAAGCTCATGTAAAAGAGAAAGTTTCACTGTGAGGAGATAAAAAGCTGCTGAAATTATCCAAACACAGTCCTCCTACAGACTTTATGGAAAGACAGTCAGAAAATAGTGAGAAAAAAGGTCCATAACCTTACATGACATGGGCCACAATGCAAAGGAAAAGAACGTAGATGGAACAGGGTTTTTAATTTAATTCACTAATTAATATATTTTGTGTTTTATTTCCCCTCTTAAGTTTCAAATTGTATTGAGAATTGTATTGTAACTCTTGACCCCCTCTAATTTATGTATGTCCCAAGACCTTTCAAACTTGTCAAACGTATACACTCTACACCCATTTAGTGCACATAGACTGCTCAATACTGTTCCAATCATACTTTCCATGTGGATCCATGTGGCCTGTGTAGCCAGTAATAAAATACTGTGTTATCTGCACCTGCCACCTCCTTTTTTCCAGAGTATGTCAGATATTGACAGGAGAATGGACCGTTCACAAATGCGGACAGTGAAAGAGTAGATTTTGTGGAGCGTGGGTGACTGGTGAGGGCCATCAGCAGTCATTACACTCTGCAGGGACAAATGGTGCAGGTAATGACATGATTGCAGCCGTTACGGAGCAGGGATACAACACAGCGATACGTGTCGGAAATTAGTGAAGCTTTAGTGCAGTTTTAATGGTTGGCTAGAGTGCGTTCCTGTCCTTCTCAGGGTCCAGACCTGACGGACTTCTGTGAAGAGCGGGGTGGCCTGGGTTTAACAACATGAAACAAGGGACATCATTATACTTAAACGTAATGGTATTGTATCCTGTCAATCTGGCCAGGGTAAATATTGTGTTATCATTTCAACATCACATGAAACAGGCATTTTAAGCAAACTGTACCTTTTCAACTTTGAAAAAAATAATAATAATTATATTGCTTTGTATCCACCAAATCAACATAAAGTCTAATTTAATTGTTAGCTTATGCTATAGTCTTGTTTCAAGACAGTCAGAATGTAATAAATTAATATAAAAACCATTTGATTCAATAAATTACTACCTCATTTTTTATATTTTTTTGTAGTGGCACGCACAGATTGGAGTGGTCAAGCTGATGGTATTAATTTTTCTGCAATAATGTGGATTTATGGAAAACCAGTAAGAAATAAAACAAAAAAATCAAAACAACCCTCTAAACATGAGCTTTGGTGAAGCTGTAGTCTATGAAGACTGAGAAGGAGCCGTTTGTTTTAACATCAAGGTGGGGAAATTTAGTCAGCAGCAGCACGGAGCATCCACCGGGCGAGAGATTGATGTACTTGGCGCACCAGCTGTTATCTTTCATCCCTCTCTTTCTCTGGTGGGAGACGTGTTTTCTGATGTTGTGCTGTCTCCCTGTTGTTCCGCAGCCACACAGGTCAGCGCCACTGAGCTGCAAGATGTGTTCCAAGAGACTTCCTCCAATATCTTCCAGATCAACGCCAACGGTAAATTTGCACACGGCCTCAAATCAACAACACTAATGATGACCCTGTGCAGCAGTGGGCTGAGTTTTCAGGTCTGGTGGGCTGTCTGAGGCAAATCCATCTCTGGGGATCAATTCTACAGTGAATCAGAAAAGCTAATATCCACTAGAGGAGAGACAGAGCTGATCCCACCAGGCCTGTCAAATGATTTTATTATTCTACTTTTGGATTATTTGGGTTAGTGGCAGGAAGTAGTTTCAATATTACCATGATTAATATTGAATGTTAATCATTTCTCTAGCAATAACCACACTGTGAATAGATTGTATCCAAATGAGAAACTCGAGGTGGGCCCATTCTGCTTTTGGAATGAATAATTTTGAGCTCCAAAACATACACACACACTCATTGTGTTTGTCTTAAAGCTGGGGTACCTAACTTTTTCTGAAAATAGATTACATTGTATCTATTTTGAAACAGTCCATCTGTGTGGACATTCTTTAGAAATTATAATGTTGTAAAAAAAAATCCCACATTATTAGAAAAAAGTGGCATCTTTTGCACACTAATTGACTGTTTGAGCTGATTGGCCGAGTGAGGGTTGTCCTTTCTTCTCCCTTTTACTGTCTAAAACCTGAATCTAAAAATGTGACAGAAAATTACATCTTTTAGAACCAGGAACTTGTTACATAGATTGTTTTGTGGTAGTAGGTGCCCCATTTTTAAGTTAGTTTACTAAGAAAAAAAAGGTAGAGAGGTCCTATAACCTGTTCAAACCTGCAGTAATAGTTGAAATTCACCACTTGAACATTGTTATCCGTAATTCTCAAAACTAAGTAAGAAAATGTATTACAGTAGTGTCATTTTTCAGTGCAGGTTATAATAACAATGCACGCTTTTTGATCAAATAACGTCACGGCTTAGAAATTAGGATACTGTTACTTATTTTAGTGCTTGAGGGGTTTCTCTCATGTTCAGCTAAGTGCCCTAAAACTCAAGTTTTGTAAATGACAGCTCTGTCCTCTGTTAATGTTTGTCTCACTCTTGTGTTCCTCCAGTCGTCACGCTGGAGAAGAACCTGCAGTCGCTGGGCACATCACGGGACGCACCAGAGCTACGCCAGACTTTGTAAGGGACTGTTATTCTCTGGTATTCTTATTTTCAAAGTGCTATAAAGTACCATTTAAATTTGGATAGTTGGAGACAGAAATGGAGTTTACGAGCTGATTTACTTGTTCGCAAACAAAACATTTGCATTATTCCGTGCCGGGTCAGACGATCGAGAACCAATTTTTACAAAACAAAAAATTTAGCAAAAATAATAATAATAATAAATCGGTTTTATATAGCGCTTTTTTGGACACTCAAAGACGCTTCACATGTGTCATCATTCATTCACTCCATACACGGTGGTGATAAACTACTACTGTAGCCACAGCTGCCCTGGGGCACACTGACAGAAGCGAGGCAACCAGTATGCGCCATCTGCCCCTCCGACCACCACCAACCATTCACACACACACCAGACTCATTCTAGGCAATTGGGGTGAAGTGTCTTGCCTAAGGACACAATGGCAGTTTGGCACTTTACAGCCACAGCCGCCCCACTGTGGCTGGTGTTCCCAGAGGTTAAGTGGCAGTAGCTCAATGAGGCAGTAGCTCAATGAGATTCTGAGATGCTAAAGATTGAGATTGGATTTTGACAATATTGAGTTTGAAAACTATTTGTCTATCATGACTTAAGCGTGTTGGATTTTTTCAGGCCAATTCTGATGTATTAAAATGAAATAAATCCAGATCAAAGTTCTATATTAACATCCCGCCACACAGTCACGTTTCTTGCATTATGCAGCACAGTGTCACAGTGGATAGCACTATGAATTTTCAGCAAGAAAGTCCTGGGTTCCAATCCCAGTCGGACAACAGGGTCATATGCTCAACGCTTTCACCAAATTCAACAAATTATACATCGTTACGACCGGCTTCACCGTCTCATTATTGCTATTACTTTTCACACTTCCACCTTTTGCACTTTTTCAGATATTTACAAAAGTACAAGCACTTTTTCCCATTGACTTACATTGGACTGCTAAATTTTCAGCCCACTAAAACCATGTATAATAGATGAATCCTCCAGCTTTGGTAGTCCTGACCAAGCTGAGCATCAACATCTGGAGATGGGTCCTGGGCGCTGTACAATGGCGACCACTGCTCCTTACAGGGGCCCTAAGTTGCATTTGCAGGATGGGTCAAATGTGAAGGACAATATTCCCAGTGAGAAACATTGTGTACACTTTACATTTAAATAGACGGAATATTTCAAACCAACATTTGAAATCAGAAATCCACTTTATGTTCTGGGACTCAATTTATAATACTATTTTTGCCATTACTATAAAGAAAACAACAACAAAGTAAATTAAATGATAAGAAAATGCCTTATACCGGTGAAAACGATCATTTAACACTGAAAACGGCGAGCGGAAGACACGTTTGTGTGCGGCGCACTTTGATGACGCATCTGCGCGGCACGTGTAGCAGAGCGGCGTGCAGGGACAACAACAACAGAGCAGAGAGCAAACATGGCTGAGGGCGGCGGTGAAGACCATGGTGAAGACATGCAGATTGTAGAAGACATTGTGCCAAAACGCGGAGCTACCTCAAACATATGGGAGTAGTTTGGGAACTAGATAAAAAGAAGCAATTGTGTGTAACTATCGACAGTGGATCTAATGTTGTGAAAGCAGCTGCCCTAAACAACTGGACTCGAGTGGCTTGCTTCGGACACTCGCTCTCTCTCTCTCTCTCTCTCTCTCTCATAGTGCCATTGGTAAGCTTTATTTACTGTTTACTGTCATTCATTTTACTTCAATGCATGTGTTTGTCTACATTGCAATATAATTACAAATAAGTTATAATTACATAATTATAGAAACGCAAAAGGATACAAAAAATATATACAGTATTTGATCATTTTGACTATATTGGGATTAGGAAACATAAGCCAAAGTGATCAAATAATTATTTGATAATGCTACACTTTTTATATTACAAAGGACAAACTTTTATATATTTTACAAATTACAAATGTTCACCTTTATTACATGTTGCCTGCAATTTTCAGTATGTACAAAACAGAATTCTCTACAATTCATTTTTGTTAATATGTTTTATATACAATAGCTGTATTACACATTTTGCTGCCAATAAATCAGTAAATGCACTTTGAGGAGAGTGTGTTTAAAATTATCAGTGCTAAGTTTTTATAGCTTTTATATGAGGCTTTGTTAAAATTATCATATCGTCATATCGTGATACATACCAACAAAAATCGTGATACATGCTGAGGCCCATATCGCCCAACCCTACAACTGGGATAGAGTGCAAGTTTGATTCCCGCACTGGCCTGAGCCGTTCTGTGTGGAGTTTGCATGCTCCCTGGTTTCCCCTTCCACCCAAAACATGCACATGCAATAAATTATGCATGCTATTGTCCATGCCTGACCAAGCCGAACACCAGTGTCTGGAGATTGGTCCCCTGGGATTGTACTGCGGCAAACACTGTTGGGGTCAGGACAAAATATGTATGAACGAACTATAGAATAAAGCTGTAACCCATAAAATACACCGTCTTACAGTATGTACAGGCCATTTGTGTCAAAGGGCCTCTTCCTTATCTGATTACATTATTTCACTTTAATGACCGTAACAGTACCACAACACTAATTTTCTACAATTTGGCTTTAACCTGCTTTCTCTTTGGATACATGTACAGTGGGGAAAAAAAGTATTTAGTCAGCCACCGATTGTGCAGGTTCTCCCACTTAGATCAGGCATGTCAAAGTCAAATACATCAGAGGGCCAAAAAAACAAATTTGCTGCGAGCCGAGGGCCGGACTGGTTCAATGTTTATTAACTCATTGCCTGCCAGCCTATTTCAGAACAGGTACTCCCATATTGCCAGCAGTTTCTGATGATTTTTTATAGATTTTTCAAGACCCACAGAATATTGTGTACTATGACTATCTGAAATCCGAAACCAGATTCTGAAAGAATAGACTGTCTACTTTCATCAGCAAAAAGAATTTTGTTTCTAGCTTGTAATCCCCAGTTGAGTAGAGGCATCAAGTAACAAGTGCATCTAGCTGTTTTCAAACCATTCAGAGAGCGCTGCTGCCACCTGCTGGCTCGATTCAATATGCTCTCAAGCTTATCCCCAAACATATTAGATATAATAGACATCTGGGAACATGAAAATAGCGGAAAACGCAATTGACGTAATAGTGCGTCAATGGCAACGGGCCATGTAAAATTCATTCACATGTGTCAAAGTCAAGGCCCGCGGGCCTTGACTTTGACACATGTGACTTAGATAATGACAGAGGTCTGTAATTTTCATCATAGGCACACTTCAACTGTGAGAGACAGAATGTGAAAAAAAAAATCCAGGAATTCACATTGTAGGATCTTTAAAGAATGTATTTGTAAATTATGGTGGAAAATAAGTATTTGGTCAATAACAAAACTTCAACTCAATACTTTGTAATATAACCTTTGTTGACAATAACAGAGGTCAAACGATTACTATAGGTCTTTACCAGGTTTGCACACACAGTAGCTGGTATTTTGGTCCATTCCTCCATGCAGATCTTCTCGAGAGCAGCAACACGGACTTTCAACTTCCTCCACAGATTTTCAATGGATTGAGGTCTGGAGACTGGCTAGGCCACTCCAGGACTTTCAAATGCTTCTTACGGAACCACTCCTTTGTTGCCCGGGCGGTGTATTTGGGCTCATTGTCATGCTGGAAGACCCAGCCACGTTTCATCTTCAAAGCTCTCACTGATGGAAGGAGGTTTTGGCTCAAAATCTCACAATACATGGCCCCATTTATTCTTTCCTTAACACAGATCTGTCGTCCTGTCCCCTTAGCAGAAAAACAGCCCCAAAGCATGATGTTTCCACCCCCATGCTTCACAGTAGGTGTGGTGTTGTTGGGATGCAACTCAGTCTTCTTCTTCCTCCAAACATGACGAGTCAAGTTTATACCAGACAGTTCTACTTTGGTTTCATCTGACCACATGACATTCTCCCAATCCTCTGCTGTATCATCCATGTGCTCTCTGGCAAACTTCAGACGGGCCTGGACATGCACTGGCTTCAGCAGTCTGGCACTGCAGGATTTGATTCCCTGTTGTCGTAGTGTGTTACTGATGGTAACCTTTGTTACTTTGGTCCCAGCTCTCTGCAGGTCATTCACCAGGTCCCCCCATGTGGTTCTGGGATTTTTGATCACCGTTCTCATGATCATTTTGACCCCACGGGATGAGATCTTGCGTGGAGCCCCAGATCGAGGGAGATTATCAGTGGTCTTGTTTGGCTTCCATTTTCTGATAATTGCTCCCACAGTTGATTTGTTCACACCAAGCTGCTTGCCTATCGTAGATTCACTCTTCCCAGTCTGGTGCAGGTCTACAATTCTTTTCCTGGTGTCCTTCGACAGCTCTTTGGTCTTGGCCATAGCGGAGTTTGGAGTCTGACTATTGGAGGCTGTGGACAGGTGTCTTTTATACAGATAACGAGTTCAAACAGGTGCCATTAATACAGGTAACGAGTGGAGGACAGAAGAGCTTCTTAAAGAAGAAGTTACAAGTCTGTGAGAGTCAGAGATCTTCCTTGTTTGAAGTGACCAAATACTTATTTTCCACCATAATTTACAAATATATTCTTTAAAAATCCTACAATGTGAATTCCTGGATTTTTTTTCACATTCTGTCTCTCACAGTTGAAGTGTACCTATGATGAAAATTACAGACCTGTGCCATTATTTTAAGTGGGTGAACTTGCACAATCGGTGGCTGACTAATACTTTTTTGCCCCACTGTAAGTGATGAACCACCTCTTTCTGATTTTCACTTTAAATACTGCAGCTGTGTCTTCGGCCTCTGCACTGTACATCTGATTGATGTTTCACTTTTGTCTCCACATTTTCTCATATCGTGTAAAAGCTTCTTAAGAAAGACATAATGATTTTGTTCAGCTCATTAGTCGGAATCTGCTGTGTTTTCCTTGAATGCACTTTTGGAACTTCCATGACGGAATTAATTACCAATCTTATACACAATTTT